TTGCCAGTTCATCGCTTTTTTTCATTCACAATTGTAAGGTTTTTTTCCCCCAAAAAAAAAGTAATTGGCAACGCGAGAAACCTCATTTTGAGAGATGAAAATGTAAACAAACAAAAATTACATATTTTTTGGATGAGTGAATTATGACAAATATGAACACTTGTTTTCAGTTTTTTGTATTCTAGACCTCAAATGATTAATGGTTATATATTGTATAGCGTATTTTTAAATTTCAAACTAAATTGAGTATCAGCTGATTGTTCTTGTTCGCATTGCCAACACAATTCAATTTCAAGCTCAAGTGTAACATAACGCAGCATACGTTCAATATTTTAACGACTTTTTCAGGCGCGTAATGTAGTTCTCTTGCAGATAACAGGCCTGGAAATCGCTCTATCAATACACCATATCCCTAGTTTCCTGTGATAATAATAACGAAATAATATACATAAGCGTTGCTGAGAGTTGCTTCTTTTAAGATATCAATATAATGTATACATAATATCTGTATGTATATGTGCAGATAATGTATACATGTACATATGTCCGTAATTTTTATCTATAACTCATTACCACAGCTAATTTTGTCACGCAGGATACACTCACCAAGAATTCGGTCGCTCCTATTTGCATTTTCGTAGTTTGTCCTCAACCTTTCACGTTCTCCAAGTCTACCATTGACTGCACTTATTTGCATTTTGTAATCGCATATATAAAACAAAGTTTTAGCTCATTACACTGGAATCAATATATATGTATATACGAGTATATTATTATATTTGTGAATGTTCTTACCACCATTGCATTTATTCTGTGTTTTATTTTACGATTAATCAATAAATGTTCATTCCGTGACGGATAAATTAACTGGATGTGCGTCCCATCAATCACTTCAAGCTAAAAATTCTGTTTTCTTCAAAACACACGGTTTTATCGCACAAATAATCATTATTTCCTTTATTTTGCTCTTTCATACTTTGACATTTTTGACAGTAATGCCAACTATTGCATAAAGAGCACAAAAATCAAAGGTTAACAGCACTCATTGGGCTTTTGAATCGCATTACATTCGCATCGCTTTACAGAATACGCCCACAGGTCAATACTTCCCTCGCTTCTTATATACCTAATATAAWTTTTTTTTTAACTTCTAGGTGATTTTATAGCACAGAGAGCGTGTTGATATAATTTGGCAAACTTGACCGTTTCTATATATATTCCATGGTATATCTTAATAAATCTCATGCTTTAGTATGTGGCCTGTTAATAGTACGTAGTATTGGCAAAAATACGTAAAATTGGGTCGATTTCACACATTTTTGCGCAATATCGTAGGTACGTTATGCTTGAAGTTGGTCTATTACTTCCTGAAATATAAGCTTAACCCTGAAAAAGCATCACTAAACGAAGTTATGGTTAAGAAATCGACTTATTTTCATTAAAAAAGTTAGGCACTACAAACAATTTTCAAATATTATTTAGTGTCTAGATGCCTCTCACGAATACTCCAAGCCCGTCCCTGAGCGTAATCAAAGTACTTCTCCTCCAATTGACCTTAGAAATCTCCCACTTCCTTGCCCTTAAAGTAATGAACTGCCAGGATTCTCTCTACCTAACGGTAGGGCGTCTCACTATCCAGGATGCTCTCCCTGAATGTTAATAGCACCTAAAAAATCTATATAAATACATTTCCAAAGATACTATGGTTGAGGACATAAAAGGAAGTTGCTTTTAAAAATTGATGATATTCATATCAGTCAGTTTCAATTCAATTACGGCAGTAGTATATCATCGTTTAAAATAGACGTTTCTACAGAATTTAAAATGATTTTAGTCAGCTCATTCTGGCCACCTGGGACTTTTGTACGTAAATTTGTGCCGAAACTTAAAACTTAAAAATTCTGCTAAGGAAAAAGTTATTAAAATTTCGTAAAAAATTACCGGTAATAAAAATTGATTGATAGTAATTCGCTGAGCATTTATTATTATCAGAAGAGGTGTAAATACCTAATAAACTGATTTGTACTTAAACAGTACTAATTTCATATAATTGGATTTCATATTTTTTCCAAAGCCCAATAAACCGGAGCACTGCCCTTCTTCATACCGTCCAATTAGTTTACTGATGACCTTCTCTAAGATATTTGAAAAGATATTTTTAAAGAGAATGTTACCTGTTTTAGAGGACCAAAACATATTACCTGAACACCAGTTTGGGTTTAGAAGGGGGCATGGAACTCCTGAGTAATGTCATCGAATTGTTAACATTATCATAAGTGCTTTCAAATGTAAGCAATACTGCGCAGGGGTCTTTTTAGATGTTAAACAAGCATTTGATAAAGTATAGCAGCCAGGATTACTTTATAAAATTAAAAAAYGGTTTCCAGCGCCTTACTGTTTACCTACCGATCGCTAATGGCTTAGAGGTAGCAACTTATGCTGATAATACGGCATTTATCGCCACCAGTTTTAATCCTAGTGATGCCTCACTTCACTTACAATAACAACTTAATATTGTTCAAAAATGGCTAAAGAATTGGAAGATAGAAGTAAATACACAGAAATCTGTTCAAATAACGTTTACGTTAAGGACTGAGAAATGTCCCCCCGTAACGTTAAAT